TTCTGATTTTCAGCATTTCTTAAGTGAATCTTTCTTTTCCAAATAAATGAATAGCATGTTGGACGTAGAATGTCTTCTCCAGTTGATGTAACGAACCGAACTGAAAAGCCACAGAACCGTGATATGAGCTGATTTTGTGAATCCCCTCACCCCAACCTCTTTGGAGGCTTTTGACCAGAAGACGGGAGTTTTATCCCCAACAAATCCCGCTCGATCTTCCTGCCACCTACTTTCAACCTGCTGACTGCCCCATCGACCTCTTCCTGACCGTTCCACTTCCTCTCAGTTTGTATCTTGGACCCAGAGATTCTCACTCTACTACTGGCAAAACTATATTAAGCGACTAATGGTGTATTTTTATTCAAGCGTGTGCAAATGACAAGATAGTAATCACCTATACGTGCAAAGTCATTTGCAACGTATTGCAGTTGCCAAGATTGAGTGCAGACCGCCAGTAGCTCCACTCGCCTTTCAAGGTTGCTCACATAAGATGCAGTAAATTTGTGTTCCAACCGCTGCGGAACCAGCGCTGCGAGGGAGTCGTATCTCACTGAAGAGGAACAACAAGTGTCGTCAGGTTTGCAAACAGCCTTGTCAGCTCGTTGCGTGGGCAAGCGTGGGTCTTGAACCCGACTTGTTTGGTCAACAAACTTTCTTTTTTTATATGACCGCCGCTTGATATGTGAGCACTGAGCGGTAAGAAAAAAAGCCAAACGCAAGCTAAAAATGTCTTTTTGCGCAGTCAGATGATGGAAAAGGATGTTTCTCATTTGGCTAACGTGGATGTTACGGAATGTGGGAGGAAGTGGAATTTTTTTTTTTTTTCATGTTGGTAATTCCCACTAGTATGAATGTCCTGTCTGATCGTGAAGCCTATTAAATCGTTGCGCTTAATACCCTTCATCGTAATTGCATAAGAGAAAAACACATTTGACAACGCATTTAGCAACTCGTTTCCCAAAGATACATTGCTGCCCATCTGTCAGCAGAGTTGAAGAGCGGTGCAGAACGTGTCGGATTAGGTGTCATTATCACAAAGGCAAAGTATTTCAGTATTTCAGCACTTTGTGGGTGATGACAGGAGACGTAATAAGCGAGTTTGTACGCTTATGTTTGTTCCTATGCGAGGCCTCTTCACGCCTGCATCAAGGTCCCCGGGCTCCTTTTGCGTAAAAGTGACAGCTCGGGTCTTATTCCGAGAAAAATCCGTGGGCGACGCAGTTTAGTTTGATTGAAAATGTGCGTCTCAGAAAAAAAAGTGTTTGTATGGATTGACATTCATGCTAACGGCACTGGGTACTCAGATGAATTCTTAGTGTAAACAGAGAATTGGAGGCAATCTAGAAGGCCCTGTGACGTTCATCTTGTCTACTTATGGTTAAATTCGGTTTAAGGTTTCTTTTTTTTTTGGGTGAAGAGAAAAACTCTAACCTGGCTAACAGTTTCAGCTTACGCTTCAGCCTTCATCGAAGAAAACAGTTGGCCGGGTCAGGAAACCTTCAAAATAAGGTTCTTCGACCCGGTCAAAGGTGCGCTCCAACCGTTCGCCCGCCGCTGAAGTAATTTGAATTTGTGTGTGGGAGCATGTAAGCATCCTTGTCCCTGTTGATGGTGAAGCCTTATTTTGAAGGTTTCTCGACCCAGTGAGTTGTTTTTAAGACACGTCACCAGGAAGTAGTGACAGACAACCGATGAAGGCTGACGTGACAGCCGAAACTTTCAGCCAGGTAAGAGTTTTTCTCTTCACCAAAAAGAGACCATTTTCTGGTAAAAAAAAAAAATAACAATATTTTTTTAAAAAGTCCTTAAACGTAATCTAGAAGGTCGCTGGTACCACACCATTTGTCTTCAGTGTATGACTATTTAGCATTAGGAGAAGGCTAACAGACTGAGAGGCTAAGCTGTGTGGTTGTTTTAAATAAGGATCGTGCAATTCTCTTTGTTTTGGGTTTAGTTTGACAGTAAGCTAACTGGAAGTGGCAAATCAAACAGCTTGACGCAAACATGTGTCTTATTTGGGGAACTGTGTGAGCGACCGTATATGAACAAGTGTCTTTGAATGATTGGTACATGTGTTTGAAGTGTGTGGGAAGGGCAGAACTATTGAAAAGATGTTTTTATATGGCGTCATCTCACAAATATTCACCTACCACGATGTTAAATTCGGTTTAAGGTTTCTTTTTTTTTTTTCCAGACAATGGTACTTTTTTTTTTTTTGGTGAAGAGAAAAATTCTAACCTGGCTAATACTAAGAGTTTTTCTCTTCACCAAAAAGAGACCATTGTCTGGTAAAATAATAATAATAATAATAATAATTTTTTAAAAAGTCTTTCAACGTAATCTAGAAGGCCGCTGGTACCACACCGTTTGTCTTCAGTGTATGACTATTTAGCATTAGGATTAAGCTAACAGACTGAGAGGCTAAGCTGTGTGGTTGTTTTAAATAAGGATCGTGTAATTCTCTTTGTTTTGGGTTTGGTTTGACAGTAAACCAACTGGAAGTGGCAAATCAAACAGCTTGACGCAAACATGTCTCTTATTTGGGGAACTGTGCGAGCGACCGTGTATGAACAAGTGTCTTTGAATGATTGGTAGATGTGTTTGAAGTGTGTGGGAAGGGCAGAACTATTGGTAAAAAACCTTTTGTTCCATTTATGGTACTTTTGCAATAAGAAGAAGAGCTTTTGTAATTTACTCTGCAGACATCGACAAAAGTATTCAGTGCAGAAAAGTGAACGGCTCATTTATTTTTTTAAAGCAAATGATTTCATGATTTCCTAATTTCACTTATCTACTTTTGGGCTCAAATGCAGACCAAGCAGCAGGAGTCAAAGACCAGATGTGGCTTATCTAATTGTGAAAGAACGTTTCAAAACACATGAGGTAAAAGTAGAACAAACGCCGCTAAATGAACAAAAATGAATGTGACACCAGATGCAGATTTAAAAAAAACTTTTGTTCCATTTATGGTACTTCTGCAATAAGAAGAGGAGCTTTTGTAATTTACTCTGCAGACATCGACAAAAGTATTCAGTGCAGAAAAGTGAACGGCTCATTTATTTTTTTAAAGCAAATGATTTCATGATTTCCTAATTTCACTTATCTACTTTTGGGCTCAAATGCAGACCAAGCAGCAGGAGTCAAAGACCAGATGTGGCTTATATAATTGTGAAAGAACGTTTCAAAACACATGAGGTAAAAGTAGAACAAACGCCGCTAAATGAACAAAAATGAATGTGACACCAGATGCAGATTGTGTTGACTAAGTATACGAGAACTCGATTTAAAGTCTTGCTTAGTGAAAGTCAGTCATCATCTCCTTGTGTTGTAGTTTAGCTTAAAAGTTCCTCCCACGCGTTCACCAGCATCTGTTTGGATCCAAATAGCAGACATCGGTATATTTTCAATGTTTTTTTTTTTTTTTGTTGTTTTTTCTTTTTTTTTTTTTTTTTCCCGACCACTTTCTTGTTTTTTGAAAGTACGCCTCCGTCTGCATGTAATTACGTGGTCTATTATTTGTTTTCTCGGCCTGGAATGTCCTTGGGCACATCTTGACGTGATTGGTTGTAAACTCCCGATACAAAACCAGTTACCATTTCTTTATCCTTCTCAAGGGTAAAGAAAAATATTCTCGAGTGAGCTTTGTGGTCCAATGCCGCAGCATGCGAAAGAGCTTCAACCTGAAAATATACTGTGAAGAAAAGTGTCCTTTTCTTTTCTTGTCTTGTGAAAGCCACTCAGCTGTTCTGACAACACATATGGGGGGGAGAGCCGATAGGGGGCGCGCAACGATGACCGAGGGGTTATAAATCCTGTAGCTCGGACAATGCGGACAAGCGGTGCAATCAGTCCGTGCAGAACCTCGGCAAATATGCCAGCGTGCAATGTTCCACTCCATATTGCATCATGTAGTATTTGTTTTGCAACACACTGTGCGCAGCTTGAACTCACCAGTGTTGATCATTTCTCCTCCAGCGAGTGCAGAAAACAACGTATTCAGAAGAGGAGCTAATTTCGCACATGTTGTATATGATATAAAAATTAAATGTATATAACGTTCTGTTGAATTATTGCTATTCTATGTTAGATGTCCTGTTTTGCGCTCTGTTACAGCTGCAGATGTTGTGAGAGCGCTATTAAAAATAAAGATGTATTGTATCACAGATATTTTGATTTTTTTTTTTTTTATGTGAGCAGTTAGGCCAGTCTTGCCGATATCAACACCAATACTGATACTTTTTTTCCAATTAAGGTTGATGCCTCGTGAAATTGCTTAATCTGAATGAGTTTTAATGACCTTCAGAAGTTTTTATGAGCAGATTTCAAACCCTAGCAAGATTTGAATGTAGGCATAAGCCATTGTCAGAATTGTCATTCGGTAGGATATAAAAAATATTGCTGTTTTACAGGATTGCAATTATAGCTCTAAAATGTGCCGTTTTGAAATTACCACATTGTCATTCCACTGAATGTGCTTTGTATACATTCACATAAAAAAAAAAGAAAAGAGAATAAAGAATAGATTTTTTTCCCCAATACAACCAAACTGTACAACAGCAAAAGCATTTACTTCTCGGAAAATGTGTTGCTGCTTCTCTGGTCTTCTCTGGTTTCAAGGAATAACGTCAGAGCAGAAATTATCTTCTGCAAACCATGCAATTTAGCGAGTTATCTGCGTCAAGTGCAGGTGGGTAGTATTTAATTCACCGATTGAAGGCACACTATCTCTTGCAATCTCAATGTTCAAATCTCATAAATTCTCAAAGACTGCAATGTAGGACGACATGCAATGATGAAGGATCAAACGCATATCGAGCTTCAACAAAATAGCAGCACTAGCTAGCTTGTCAACTGGCCAACGTTAGCCACAGCTGCTATGTTGGTCGCATGAATTATTCGTCATGGTGCGTTACTCTGACACTAAACGTTCTGTTTACAGTTTTTATTTTTGAGCATGTAAAGGCTCGGAATTAAAAAACAAAAAGAGGTGATAAACGTACCTGTCGAGCAGAAATGTTGCTAATTCCGTCTGGTTTCTGGATGAGATCGCTGCGTTCTGCTTTTGTCTACAAACAGAGGCAACAGTGCATTAGACTCAGGGCACGTATTGGGCTTCCTTTTTTTAAAACTTTGAAACAAATCTCAGATGTCTCCTGTCAAAATAACCTTCGAATCAAGAATTAGAGGCCACATTACGATCCATATTGATGTTTCTTAGTTGTTTCCCATTCTTCAAGCACCATTTCTGAGGGAATTGCCCTTTCTCTTAAGTAGCAAATTTGAATAGTTTGTACTGTTAAGTGTAAGCAAAGGTTCACATAAATATGCATGCAATTACTTTGGTGCCGTCTTCGTAGATGAGACACACTTGGCTCGTGTCTCCGTGCATCCATTCATGTATAAACCCGCGTGGTTTCACTTTCTTTTGGAGTGTCACTTCTCAGCGGGGAGCGCTGCTAAGGTGGAACATAAAATGGCACTTTGTAGGCCACCAGGATGATATTTGTTTGACAGCTTGCACATCCACATTCGACAGTAAACTTTCAAAACAGGTGAGGTTGAATTCAAAATTCAAAACACATCAGTTACATTTAGAAAACATTTTTTAATGGGATGATACTGTCAATCTCTGTGAGAAAAAAAATTAACTGTTGACTATTAGTGACATCTAGCGGTGGGCCACACTCACGCGCAATACTGCAGTGCTTAATTTTTTAATCACCAATCAATGAGCAATGAAGAGATTAATGTTAATAACTCAAAATTTAATGTAGTTATTGGCACAGCTACTTATAATCTCCAGCACTTGATAAATACGGGCATTATATTAAAGTAGGTTGTATTCAGAAACAATTACTATGTAGGATTTCTATTCCATGAGGGATTATAGAGTACAATAAGAAACAACAAATACAATTCAATGAGATTACGGCGCGCTGGCTGTGGATTATATTGTATCACATTATCGGTAATCACCACAGGTGAAAACTGAGCGTTTCGTCTTCAATAAAAACACTTATTTTACTGGACTTTAAACTCCCATTTGAGTGTGACTGTGCTTACGATTAGTTGCCTCCAGGGAGCGCGCCGTTGCATTTTTTTCGCCTCATTGTCCGAATTTGAGGTACACCTGCGTTGCAGTTTGAGTCAAGTTACAGAAATGTCAACTAAACAAAACGGAAGTACTGCTTTAAAAAAAAAGTAAACGTTTTATGACCCATTTTCAATGCTATTTTATTGTTATTTCAGGAAAAATACCACCCGATTACTTGAACAAAAACAAAGATAGTTACATTCTGTACTTAAGTACCGATGCATACTTGTGTGGAAAAATACTACAAATAGAAAAATGAGATTACGACGCGCTGGCTGTGGACTGTATTGTATCACATTATCTGTAATCACCACAAGTTAAAACTGAGAGTTTCGTCTTAAATTAAAAAAAAAACCTTATTTTACTGGACTTTAAACTCCCATTTGAGCGTGACTGTGCTAACGATTAGTTGCCTCCAGGGAGCGCGCCGTTCCATTTTTTTCGCCTCATTGTCCGAATTTGAGGTACACCTGCGTTGCAGTTTGAGTCAAGTTACAGAAACATCAACTAAACAAAACGGAAGTACTGCTTAAAAAAAAAGTAAACGTTTAATGACCCATTTTCACTGCTATTTTATTGTTACTTCAGGAAAAATACCATCCGGTTACTTGAACAAAAACAAAGCTAGTTACATTCTGTACTTAAGTACAGATGCATACTTGTGTGGAAAAATACTACAAATAGAAGTATTTATTTCAGTCGTTGATTTAAGTTGAAGTAAAACAGAGTACAGTGCGTACTTCTGAAATGTACCGAGGCAAAACAGCTAAAAGTGAAAATCAAGCCTTATTGTTAATTTCATACAAAACCTTGAACAATGAAAAGACACTGATATGCGTTCAAGGGGGTAAATGTTAGTCATCAGAAAAAAAACTCAAATATAATGCAGATAGATGAAAAATCTACTTAAATACTTGAACGAAGTATTTGTACTTCATTACATCCCACCATGGAGATTAGAACGTTTTGTTTTTGAAAGTAGTTCTATTTTATTTCGTAGTCTACACCCGGAAAAGGATGCACAGACTTGACAAACTTTACTTGAACCTCGCTATTTTATTGTTACTTCAGGAAAAATACCATCCGGTTACTTGAACAAAAACAAAGCTAGTTACATTCTGTACTTAAGTACAGATGCATACTTGTGTGGAAAAATACTACAAATAGAAGTATTTATTTCAGTCGTTGATTTAAGCTTCTGGGCGTCTTTTTTTTTTTAATAATTTTATTATTTGTGTTTCGTATGAGCGCGTTTCGCTTTCTCTTGTTGGCAATGAGGACTTCTTTTCGACCGAAGGTTTGTCGCTGCGTTCCAGGGGGTAAATTTTAGTCATCAGAAAAAAACCTCAAATATAATGCAGATAGATGAAAAATCTACTTAAATACTTGAACGAAGTATTTGTACTTCATTACATCCCACCATGGAGATGAAAACGTTTTGTTTTTGAAAGTAGTTCTGTTTTATTTCGTAGTCTACACCCGGAAGAGGATGCACAGACTTGACAAACTTTACTTGAACCTCCCTCCCCGTTCGCAGCAACTCCTGCAACAAGTTTGACAGTAGTTCTATTTCCCTGCTTGGCAACGCAACACAGTAGGGTTTGCCGTTTGTGGACGTCTTTTTTAAAAAAATAATTTTATTGTTTTTTTGTCGTATGCGCGCGTTTCGCTTTCTCTTGTTAGCAATGAGGACTTCTTTTCGACCGAAGGTTTGTCGCCCACTTTTTCTTCCCCCTCCTTTCGTTCTTTTTGTTGTCGACTGAGGGTGGACATCTTCAGCCGTCGCGTTGGTGGATTTTTTTTTCTTCCTTCTCCATCGTTGTTTAAAGGGATTTAAAGATGTCGAGGAGTGCGGAGGAGGTGAACAAGCTGACTGAAACTACATACAAGGTGGGTAGTGTGCAACAGGTGTGCCCCTAAAAAGCAAGGAAAGAAGGAAAAACTGGCTTGAACCCGGTCGTGTCTTCTAAAATAGGAATACACGTTCTAATATCGCGTCACTTGTTTCATCCTGCAAGTCACTTGCTTTTTACCTTGAGCCTAATAGCAAAATTGTCCAAGTCATTTTGGGGGGGGAAACAAACGAAGAATCCCGTTGCCTCCATTCAACCTTTGGCATACATTGCTGGTTTGTGGACGACCATGATGACTGACAAATTGATTTTAAAATGATTTTGTCTGTGATGATTGCTCTTTTACTGCTTGAATGTTACTGCAATGGCAATCCATCTTCAAGCACGAAATGAATAAAGTATTTATCTATCCAAGTGAGTACAGTTATGCTATTGGGCTAATGTTATGCTGATAAGAAAACTGGGGTCATCCACCGAATCAACAATAATGGATGACGGCTGCTCAGTGGTGGGAAGTAACCAAGCAGCCCGAATGCTTCGTCACTGTAGTTACTATTTTTCAGGTATTTGCAGTAGAATCTTTTCATTTCTGACAACTTTTTTACTTGTCATCACTGCATTTAAAAACAGATTTCTGTACTTTCAACTCTTAACTTTTTCAATCCCCGCAGATGACAACATGATGTACAGTCCAACAAAAATGTGCATGAGCTTTCAAAAAAAGAATGTTTAAGGGTTTTAAGCGTAAGCAAGACCAGAGAAGTATCCATATACTGTATTGCACACGATTATTGAAGTACAGAGTGTACCTTAAGTACTTTTACCACCTTTGGTACCGTTCCATTCAAGTCAATAAAAAAACAGCTAAACTAATTCCTGTAGTTTTCTCAACCTCCCGTCACAGCATTCTGGTGGGAGCACAGAAATGACTCCAGGTTTAATTATTTATCTGACTTGTTTGGAAAGGTTACATAGCAAGAGCACCTAATGCTTGTGTTACTTCACGAGTCCGTTTAAAGAATGCTATCTGCAGTGGCCCCCCGGTTTACATGTCATTCATTGACAACAGGTTTCTTAAGACAGCGGAAACGTTTCGCTCATGACTTGTGCTGTCATCATATTCTGCATTCTAAGTGTGGGTGTGATTGAGCCAGGCATGGATATGCACTGAGGTCACATGCGAGAAAAACCTTGCTAAATGACACTATTTACAGAGATAAGCGCCGGAGCCGAACTGTACTGAAACCACAATTTCTTGAAACCGCACTGGTGGTAAAAGAAGGAAGAGTAGCTCAACTTTAAAACGGAATCAACAGTGCCTCTGCTGGTGGTGGCCAATTCCTTTTGCCTCAATCGCTTCAAGACACAATTCATCAATTCCACACAATTGCTCGTAATGCCCATCATAACCTCCCTGAAGGACATTTTAACAACTGACTATGAATTGCTTGGTTAAACAAAAGGAACTAGCTGAAAAGCAGACCAGGATGACAGTAAATGTCTGGAAGCACACAGCTAAACCTCTTCATGTTCATATGTGCAAGCCAACCGTAACATTTAAAGCACTTAGGTGACAGTCAGCGAAGCATCTGAAAATATCCAGCCCTCGCGCCGTGAAGTTTCCGGGATGCAGACTTACTCGTGTGCTACTTTGGGAAACTTCACTGTCCTCCATTACTGTATGCGATGCAGGTTATGTTGGTACTCCATCGATCGTTGTTATTTTTGCCATTCAGCTCAATCCTGAGTGGTCCTAAATAAATCCGCAGGCTGTCCATACAGGAGGCTTATTCTCCTTTTGCCTTCAAACAAAGCACTGGCAGAACTTTACTCAAGTGAACTAACAAGAATATTCATCATCCAACATTGAATCATGGAATAAAAGTCTCTCTTCTTCCATGGCTGGCCACTCAGAATGTGATGGACCAGTTCAACCCAGGACTGAGAAACCTGGTCAACCTGGGAAAGAACTACGAGAAATCTGTCGCGGGTAAGCATTTTGACGCCGAGATGAACACCTACACCGATGAGTAGTTTTAAGACTTTTCTGTGCACGGTAAAGTATCGGTTTATGTGTGAACTGATAAACACTGATCATAGTTCCATGAATATTTCCCCAGCAATGACTTTGGCAGGAAGATTGTATTTTGATGCCATGGCTAAAATTGGAGAGAGTGCAGTGATGTCTCCTGTATCCAGAGAATTAGGTACGTTTTCATGTTCTGTGAGTCCTTTCATTCTTGAATGAGATTCATTTTTACTTGTCTCCAGTATCTGTATGTCTCATTTGGGTGTCAGAAGCAATCATTGTCAGCAGTGCCGGATTGAGATGGATCTATAGTTGGCGTAGAGTCTCGGCCACTGTTTTTGCGGCGATTCCAAATTTGAATCGCAGTTGCAGGATGTGGTGACGTTGCAAATTGTTACATAGTAGCTTTCACACGGGAAATAAATCACTTTCCGGGTTCGAAGCGAGTGCGATACAGCCGCTCGTCATGCACCACCAACCAATAGAAATTTAGCCCATACAGTATAGATACTGTGTTTTACAACAATACTCAACCATATTTAGAATTTCTTCTGGACTTGTGGATGAAATAGCAAACTTTGTGGTTAAAAAAAAAATACATGCGAGTGGCATACATACTATACCACGTGCCCTGCCTTTCAATATATCTCAAAAAAAATGTTGCGTGCAGTTCACATCGCAAGCTGTCCTTATGCTAAATCGTCCAATGTGCAGGAGTGAGTGGCCTTTTCTTTGCGATGGTCGGGTCCTGTTCTGAAGCATCGCGCAGTGAGAGTAGATCAATTGGTTCATTTTCTTTTCAATTATAACCTACAGAAGTCTCAAGTTTGCAACAAAAATTAATTAAAAAATATATATATATCACCAAAAGTCTTTCCACAGGGAAGTATGTATTGCCATTACCCGGTATGTTTGGGCATCTTGAATTTTTTTGTCAAATGCCTTCTAGTATGTCCTGCAACTCTTAAAGTAAAAGCTTGAATGGTGCTCAGTAGTGCCCCAACTTTTGCCAAGGCTGACCAATTTTCAATACAGTTCCACTTCAATCCTGTAGATAACGGGCATTACAATGTTGGTCCTCGACATTTTACTGTATCTAAACAGACGGTAAATTAATTGCCCCACCTCACTTCACTCGCTCCTTACATGAATTTTGACTCTCAACACAAAGCCAAAATTTGACCAAAGCCGCAGCTTGCAAGCCTCCCAAAAAAAAAAACGTACACGTTAGGAGCGCTCGCACGTCAAGATACCGTTGTACGTGGATGAAGTCCAGCACGCTGCTTGTGTAATGGCACACCCTTTTTGGCCGGGACAACTCCCCAGGTGGAAAGATATCTGCGTCACCTGTGGAACACTTTGATGTAACCACTGTATGTTTCTCAACTCCCCTGCGGGTAGAGAAAAAAAGCTGTTAATTAAATTGAGCAGCACAATGGGAGCTAACGGGTGAGGCTGGCCTCCTGGCGCACCAAGACGGAGGCATCAGCCAAATGATGAATCATATACCACACACTTTGAAATAGTTTTCAACATTTTTTTAAATTTTTTTTAGCTTGAGGGATAAAAAAAAAAACAAAAAGGGAGCAGTCAGCCTGTATTCTTGTTGATGACGATGCATTGCGATTGAAGGACGGAACGGGACTTCCAACAGCAAAGATTCGGATTCTTTGTAAATTGTGAACGAACGCTTGTCGGAATCCTGTGATAGGAAGCGTTGAGGAAATGAGGGGCGGGATGCAAGTAAATTGCAGAGTGTAATCGTAGCCATCTCGAGACAGTTGACATGATTTCCTGTCTGACTCGAACCTATGGATAGACTCCACTAATCCCTGTGACTCATTATGTAGAATCGTCGAAACACAAATCACAAACTGTCTGCTGTTGTTCAATGAAAACACAAGCAGTCGAGATTTCTGGACTGGACCAAAGAATGATTCATGAAGTTTTACTCCAAAGAACAAAAAGTCCTGTTGACTCCGAGCCTGCTCAAGGATGCAATGAGGCTGCCCGGTGAGAAACCTGAGCTTCAGTGACGCGTAGCCGACTAGAAACGGGATACCCTTGAGAGATATCGGAGGACCGGTGCATCTTGTACTGTTGCAGTCTTCCCTTTAATTCCTTTGGCCTCCCCCCTTCTTCCTCGTTGTCATCCTCCTCCACCGCAAGAGTTCAAATGTCACCGGTTCGTTCATTCAGACGCTTCTGACCGGATTCCCCCCTCCTCGGCCCAACACTGAACAAGGATCCGTTATCAGCGTTCATATCTTTGTATTGGGTTTGCGGTTGAACCAAGGCCGGCTGAGACCAAATGCAAAAAGATAAAGCTGAACCGCTGAGGTTGAACAGAATGCATTCCAGGACAGTGACCTCCAATTTGAGACGCGGTATTTCTCATGCACAGTCATGGCAGGGGAATTCATCCGTAGAAGTCGTCAAAACTTTATCAGGCCCGCCGCGCGCCGAGCAAAGGCGACTGACGTTGACCGTTGCAAAAATTGACAGTTAAGGATGGATTTCAAATGGAATACGTGCGACCCCGTGTTGTGTTTTTGTTTCCTTCAACTACCAAAAGTCAACTCGCCCGGTCATCTGGTCTTTTTGACAGAACGAACGCAGCCAACAATGTCCTTTCATGCGCTAGTTTGTTGACGTGGCTTTGTTTACATAATCCCAGCGCGTTTGCATGCCGCGTCAGGTGGCTCTCGCTCATTTCAGGATTATTATGCCCACAAAAACAAAACTGCAAGGACTGTGGGCTGCTTTGCATCTTCCCTGCAAAATCCTGTTTTAAAATCAGCTTAAGGGTGAAAGGTTTGTTTCTTTTTTTTTCTTTTTTTCTTTTTTTTGAGGTGTGGTGTATCCAGAATATGTTTGGCTCTTTTTCTTATGAGCGACCATTTGAATGAGCATTTGCACACGAGCATCGAGAAACTGTGCATGCATTTTGATCAAAGTGCTCCGCTGTCTCCGAGCTGAACAAGACCACATTGTTGACAGGGTTCAGGTCCATTTTGGGCCGTCTTACTTAATATCTTGCTCTGCAATATTTCTGAAAACTTTCCGAAATGGTTAAAAAAAACATTTTAAAAAGCTGCGTTGGCAAGCAGGACCTTTTCCCTCACACTTTATCAGGACTTGGTTTGTTAGCGCAGTACAGCCAATCGCCTCCCCTGTACTATCACCACCATGACACACACACACACACACACACACACACACACACACAGAGCTGTGAGACGTGGCTTAACATCTGCTGCCTGGCAACATTCTTCAAAGGCCGACACCAACAAACAAACCAACTGCTGGGAAAAAAAAGGACAGTTGGTATGTATGACGTCACCGACGTCATTCTCGGTCCATTCATGACGTGACACAGTCACCTTTTGGCTCGGTTTTATTTACAGATGCGTCGGCGTGTTAATGAGTCACCATCTGACTATGAACGAATAATCTGTCTGGCGTTTGGCTTGATGCCACACCTTGTGAGCTTCAAAATTCACGTCATCTTTCCAACCTGCTCGGCTGACTTTGCTGAACTTCCCGAAACCAAGCTTGCATTCACGCCATCCAAAATGCCCGCCGTCCATGTAGAGCTGTTTAAAATTGTGACGGGTCAGATACAGTCAGTCAATCGGGCGAGCTGTCACCGACGAAAGGCGTCGTCGTTGCGTCGAAGAGCTAAAGTCAGAGCTCGACGACGACTCATCGCCAATCGCATGTTTTCGTGCAAGTTGGCCCATCCCTTCGTTGTAGGTTTTGTCACTCATCGCCACGAGCAAGGATCTTGCGTCCGAAGAAGCATTTTTATTTCCTCTTGTTGGCATTTCAGTCTTGAAGGAAACACGTCAGGAAATGACGATGATGGTGAATTACGTCAGTTCATAGCTGCTATTGTTCACACACAAACGCGCCAAGCTTATTGAAACGCTGTTGCTGATCCAAACGGCAGCACCCACAAGGACTAGAAACCACTTTCAGATCAATTACTGTTTTAATCGTGTGTTTGTCCAAATAAGGACCTCTTCCCTCAGATGCAGCCGGCCACTATGCTGCAAGGATGAGTAAATGCTGCACAGTGGTACCTCTACTTCGGAAACTAACTGGTTCTGAAAGACATTTCCTAACTGGAAAATTTGTCAGTAGAGACGCATTTTCCATGGAAATGCCTTAATTCGTTCCAAACTCCCCCAAAAATTTAGACATAAGTGTTTCCTAAAGCATAAAAATGCACCAAAATATGTAACGTATACACGTTACAATTAGATTATTGCGCAATAAATGAGAGTTGTGCATAATGGAAAAAAAACAATAGAGTAAAGAAAAATGATGGTTATTTAACTTTTAACTGCGTCCTCATCGTTTTTTGCACGGCGTTTTGTAAAGAACCGATGCAAGGACGTTTGCTTTTGTCGGCTTTTAACAATCCTTCAAAAATGTCCAAGTAAACATCAGCATAGTGAGCGATCGCCCGACTGGTGAACACTTCTTGGTGATTCACTTTTACGTAAAACTATCGGAACGCCTCATGGCCCGAGGGGCGAATACTACCTCCACATTCGGTAGAGGTTCCTCTTAGCCAATGGGATGCCAGAAAGATGCTAGGTAATAGCCAATGGCAGAGCAGCTATAAGTATGTTGCGTTCAGGAAACTCTGAGCTGCGACGAGGAAGCCATCCTGTATTTTTACCTTTCGTATCTTGAAATTTCTTTCGTAACAAGAGGCAATAATTTCCCGTTGAGGCGTTTCGTAACTTGAAAATTTCGTATGAAGAGACGTTCGTAAGTAGATACAAGTAATGTATATACATTGTATATACATATATACAGTATTACAATACAATATACAATTATACAATAATACGACACCTCCGTTACAGGCCCACAATCTCTCCTCCTGGGATACCAAAATACCCCAACATGATGACAACTTTGCTCCTTCGATCAAAAGCTCATGTTTATCATATCAGTTTAGGTCCTTTTGCTGTGACAACTGCCCATGAAATGCGCCAGTTGGCTCACAGCCGCACGAGAGAAAGAAAGTGAACTAAATGCACCGCAAGTCAGGTGGCACACTTCCTCCAAATCATTTCACCATTCACACGCTGGTCCGAAGCCTTCTAAATTCATCCATCTTTCGATTTAGTCTTCATTCTACCGACACTCTTTGGACAATTC